AGATATTATTACAAAGAATGGGGGGAAAAATTAAAAATAAAACCGAGAATGAAAGCAAAGTTCAGTTTATTACACTATCTATAATATTTGTCTTCTTTTCCACATATTTTTTTATTTTATTTTTACAAAAAAAGCACTTACAACACAGAAAAACACATCCCTCCCAAACGGACATTTTTATTTCTCTTATGCCAAAAGGTTGATTATAGCAGGAATGTGATGAATGGGAACAAGGAGGTTAAAATGATAGACACTTGTTTCGCAACCTGGGCAATTCGAAGATGTGTGGACTTCAATTCCCAGAATTCTCCAGCCAGCTTGGAGAATCCTGGGAGTTGAAGTCCACACGTCTTGAGGTGATCCAGATTGAAAAACAATGCTATAGAGCGATTCTTTTGAGTGAAGGGAATACATTGGAATGTAGAAAAGAAATAAAAATAAAAATGCCATTTATTTCTGTTGGCATTTATTGGTACTGCCTGAATATCTCATCGTAGAAAAGCGCTATATACACATTTCCTTGCAAGAGAAGGCCATACAGCTACTCCTCAACTTATGACCATCCAGCTAGGCCTCAACTTACCATCCATTGCTAAGCAAGGCACTTGTTAAACGAGTCACTGCGATGGTTAAGTGACTAACATGGTTATTAAGCGAATCCTCCATTGACTTGGCTTGTCAGAAGGTCGCAAATGGGGATCGTGTGAGTCTCTGGGACGTTGCAACCGTCGTAAATACGAGCCGGTTGCCAAGAGTCCGAATTCTGATCCCGGGCCATGGGGATGCTCACACGGTCGAAAATGTGGGAACAAAAGGTCACAAGTCACTTTTTAGAGTCTCATCATAACTTTGAATGATCGCTAAACGAACAGCTGTTAAGAGTTGAGGATTACCTGTATGGAGGCTTTGCTTGCATTTGTGACCTTGAATTTTTGGTTCGATAATCCAGAATGAGGATCAAACCTTAGTCTATTTTTCCAGACAAATTACAGTCTTTTTCTTCCTGGGTGTGGACCCCAAAATATATTGTTTTTTCAGTGGCCTTATCCTTCTTGTCTCAGTTGATTCGGACCAATTAGCAGCCCATATCTCTTCAGTCCTGAGAATGAATAGAAAACCCATATCTAAGTGTCCCTTCCAACAAGGCTCTTGACCGAAAGCCAACCTCAACTTTTATGGTGGGTTTCATTTTCTCCTAAGGAGAACTCTTTTCTCCTAAGGAGAGTCTAGCTAACTTCTCATGTTAAGTTTTTTTAAAAAAAAACCAAAAAAAAAACCAAACTGCTGGAATAAAACAAAGAAACAATTCCCCCCCGCCAAAAAGCACCAGGAAAGGCATCACGGAATACAATAACGGAAATCAAATGGTAAAGCCCAGATGTGCATTCTTCCTCCAAACATCTGCCAGATGTGGCCTGCAATATAGACCCTGAGAACTATTGGAAACCTCAACAATGTTGGGTCCGGATGAAAATCCAGAAATAAATCAGAGGTTGCATTTTAATCCATTCCAAGGTCGGGATTACACTGTCCACCTTCCTCAATGAGACCAGGATCTCTCTGTGTTCAATAAATGTAGATTATAATCTTTATCCTTAAATAGAACCTCCATGTCAAGATGCCATATACCCTGAATCCTCTCCCACTGAGGACAATCCAGAGGGAAGACAGTGGCCTTCAGTGAACCAATGTATAGTTTTGGGGGCAGTGCCCATCGATGGAAACAACGTGCAACATCGGATAGCGCTACGAACCAAACAAGCTGACATTTTCTTACATTCTCACCCAGCAGCAATTTTTTTCATGAAAACAGTACTACATTTCTTACAGCTACAGACCAAGAATGGCCTAAAACCAAAATAGTAAAGGTGATATTTGGCCTCTTCTTGATACACATATTTCTTGTCTCATTTCGTCAGATTTGGCAGCTGTTTTTCCAAAGCATGCACTGGTTCCACCCATCGAAGAGTCTGGGTCATGTACGAGGATTAAGGCTGAAGTGGTCACGCATCCCTGATCACAGCAAAAATATGGTCGCTTTGATATCTAAAAATATCTGCATGGAGGGTCCCCAAGGATTAGATGCGGTTCCCCAAGGCGGACAAGGAAGTCCAAGGTCAAGAAAAACCTGAAAATTCAAGAGCTTGGTAGGTAGCTATAGAGAGCGACCAGCAAGGATGTTTGAACCATCTTGTTAGCAGGAAAGGATGGAAGCCCATCAGAACGAGGATAATTCCTATTTATTTATTTATTCAGCATTTTTCTATCCTGGCCATCTCACCTCAGTTACCCTTCTGAGAGGCTAAGTTATTCTTCTCGCTGATGGAAAGAGAAATGACCACTGGTCCAGAGAGAATGGAATTCATCTAGGTCATTCCTCAGAAGGTCCATACTTGTGGTGGTATCTCCAGCTAGACTGGAAGGAGGTCTTAAGAGGCGGCTGAGCTTGGAGTCTTTGCAGTAGAGAAAGTGGCACAGGATTGACCTCTTCCAGAATCCCTGAAGCCCTATCTGACCATTTCCAAGGGAAGGTGATCAGTCTGGAGAGAATCAGTGTTCCAGTATCTGAGGGACTGCCCCAAAGAAGAGGAGGTCAAATTATTCTCCAAAGCACCTGAAGGCAGGACAAGAAGCAACAGAGAGAAGCTAATCAAGGAGAGAAGCAACTTAGAACTAAGGAGAAAGTTCCTGATCGTTAGAACAATGAATCAGTGGAACTGCTTGCCTTCAATGGTTGTGGGAGCTCCATCACTGGAGGCTTTCAAAAAGAGATTGGAAATCCATTTGTCCAGAATGGGATAGGATTGAGCAGGGGGTTGGACTAGATTAGAAGACATCTAAAGTCCTTTCCAGTGGTAGGATCCTATGATTCTATTCTCCCAAACGCTTGAGGGCAGGACAAGAACTGGTGGAAGAGCATTAAAGAGAGAAGCAATCTAGAACTAAGGAGAAATTCCTGACAGTTAGAACAATTAATCAGTGGAACAATTTGCCTCCAGGAGTTGTGAATGCTCCAACACTGGAGGGTTTTCAGAAGAGATTGGACAACCATTTTGTCTGGAATGTTACAGTGTTTCCTGCTTGAGCAGGGGGTTGGGTTAGAAGACCTCTAAGGCCCCTTCCAACTCTGTTATTCCTGTCACATAAGTGACTAACAATAAAGCTACTGTTTGGGACTATTCATGTGTAGCTCTGACTGCTTACGCTCTATAGTTTTTCAGGGAGGAAAAGTCAGCATTGTAAAAGGAAACTTAGAGCTGAAAGAGAATGGCTACCTCAATGGGGCTATCTCAGGACCCATCCACCTTTGCTGCCTTCCAAAATCTTGGACTATAATTCCTGGCTGCCAAAAATAGCTATCGCCATCTGAGGCTATAGCAACTGTTAACTATCCTCCAGCAGTTGGTTTTCCAATCAACTCATCCTTCAAGCTTTGAAAACAGGGGTCCTATCACACCAATCAGAAGTCTCCAAAAATATACCTTAAATACGTTACCGTACCAAATCTTCAAGGGGGATAGGATTAGCTACGCTCAGGGGAAGCTACATGAATCTCTTCTCCGACGGAATCGGAGGAAATGAGAAGGACCAGATGCTGGCAACCTGTGGAGATTTAAGAGGTCCGGACATCAAGGCAGGAGCTCTTCCAGAGCAAGTAGGAATGTTGTGTTTTTACTCAATGAGCAGAGACTTCTGCCAGGCTACAACCTATAGCTTTGGTATACTATAAGAGTCTTGACTTGCAAGGGGATCCAACCGGTCAGTCCTAGAGGAGATGACTGGTCTTTAGAAGGCCAGATCCTGAAGATGAAACTCCAAGACTTTGGCCACCTCATGAGAAGGAAGGACTCCCTGGAGAAGAGCCTAATGCTGGGAATGATGGAGGGCAAAAGAAGAAGAAGAAGAAGGGGACGGCAGAGAAGGAGGGGGCTGGATGGAGTCGCTGAAGCAGTCAGCGTGAGCTTAAGTGGACTCTGGAGGATGGTAGAGGAAGGCCTGGAGGAACGTTGTCCATGGGGTTGCAATGGGTCAGACATGATTTCGCAACTAACAACAGGGGGTCTTGGAAATGCAGATTGAACCTAGAGTAGCCACGTGTTTTGATCCCATTTGATCCTGAGCAGATCAAAACTTTGATCCAGACTCTTTCATTGTTATTATTATTTCTTAATGGCAGGCATTTCATTTCAGGCTAGTCTTGCTTGAGCAGCCAGGCATGTTCCTGTGCTGAAGATTTCAGAGTGGACGATTGACAAGGGACTACTGAAGGGTTGAAAAGAAAGAAGGGATTAAAGAGAGAAGGCGCTTGCTTACGCTGCAGAAATGCCAGCCCAGACCTGGCTAAGGTCACCATGCATTTTGTTTTAAGTAAGCCTTGCTATGGGAAAGTTGGCACCATACAGATGGGAGAATGGGGGACTGCTATGAAGGCCATGCTGTGCTTTATTTTGCAGGCAGGTAGTAGAAGTCCTTGTGTACCTGTGTGCAGGTACACTGGCTTGCTTGACACTAAGGGATGCTGAGTCTACAAATTTAAAAAATAGAATAAAAAAGAACATTTGTAGCTCAGAGTTGATCAGTGTGGTCCTTAATGTTGTCTGTGCTTGTTTTCTTGCAGATGTTTCATTACTCAACTAGGTAACATTGTCAGTACTATAAAGGGGAGAGGTTGCTCTCCCCCCCCTTCTAGCACTGATGATAATACTTAGTTGGGTAATGAAACGTCTGCAAGAAAACAACCAAGTTTAAAGAGCACAAAAGGACCCCATAAATACGACTGTACTGGTGTTTAATGTTGGCTTGGTGGAATGTCTGGATTTTGGTGCATTGGTGCGCTCCGTCATGCTTTCTTGCGCTATTCATGCAATTGTGAAGCTCAGTGGGTCTCCCTGCATTTGTCTTTTACAATGGCAGCTACTCCTACATGCAACCAGAAGCATCAGGACAGGTGACGTTTTGTTAAAGAGTTGCATTGCACATAGCTGGCAGATTGAAAGGAACCAAAACAAAACAGTGCCAACATAAAATTAGACACCGTAATTATTTCTTTAAAAAAAACAAAAACCTCCATCAGCATTAAATGTTTTAATGTTTCAAAATATTAAGAATGCCTCGTACTGAGGATGTACTGATTGAGAGGAATCTGAAAGAACAGAGTCGCTCCGTTTCTCCTGCAATCTGTTGGCTGAGCAACGCAGAAGTTTTATTTAAAGGAAGTGACCCTATGTATTCTTTCTTTCTTTCTTTCTTTCTTTCTTTCTTTCTTTCTTTCTTTCTTTCTTTCTTTCTTTCTTTCTTTCTTTCTTTCTTTCTTTTCTTTCTTCCTCCATTCTTTCTTTTCTTTTCTTTCTTTCTTCTTCCTTCCTTCCTTTCTTTCACTCCCTCCCTCCCTCCCTCTCTTTCTCCATTGGGGGAAGGGAGGGCCACCGTTGATAACAGATGCTAACCCAAACAGTTGTTTCATTTGGTCAAAGTAAAGCTTTCTTTCCGTTTATTTCCCCCCTATGGAACTTGAACGCTTTTCAAAGAAGCTTTAAAAATCATGCCCCTAGCCAATTTTCCTACAACTGGGGTAGCAGATAGCATTCTGCATTTGGGCCTCTCTCGCTGACTTATTTCTGTGGTCCTGGAATGAAAAACAAAATAGGAGGAGCAGCGGTGGCTTGTTTCTGATGGTCAACCATATAAAATAGCTCACGTTTTGCTCCAACAGAACATTCTTTTTTTTTCCAAAAAAGTTTAGTTTGTGATGGAACATTCAAGCCAATTTCAAGTTTGGTTCCAAAACAACCATAACCCAAAAACAAAACATACAGGCCAACTCAAAGTGTCCCAACAGAGTGGTTAAGATTTCAGCCCCAAACAAAAACATTTTTTTTCTAAATTCACCCATCTCTCTATTTGCTTGCCACTTGAGGCTATTTAATTGGAAGGGCCAGTGACAGGAATTGGAGCCTCTGGGATGCACACAAAGCTGTTAAGCTTCACCAGGTTTCCAACATTAAGCACTGAGACTTGACGAAGAGCCAAGCGACTACTTTGCTTGTCTCTTCACTCACTGACAGTTCCAAAAGTGAGAAACTGGTAGGAATGTCCTCGGACAAGTGAATCTAAGAAGATCCTCATTGACAAAAGATGTTGGGTCCAGGAGCAAACGAGGAAAAAAAAAAGAAAAGAAAGAGATAATGTGGCATGCAAATCTTGACGGACTCTGAACCTCTCTCTTAAAATCATAATTGAGAACGAAATAACAACCACAACAAGAAAAATAAGGAGACCCACACTTATTACACTTCTCCTCCCTGGATATCATGCACTCTCGTTTGTTCCTTGCTTTCCCCAAAGGTTCTTCTGAAGGTGAAGTTGAGTCTGAGTTTTTTTTTTTTTTTTGTTTTTAGTGGCCATGGATCAAGGCGGGTGCTTATTCTCTTCCCACCACAGGTGCATTGTGGGAAATGGCCACAGTGGAGATGCTGAAAAGGAAGATCCAGAGATGCAGGAGCAAAGTCTCGGGCCCCGATTCTGTGCTTTTGTGCTTTCGGTGTCTGCAGCCCCCAAGCCCCGCTTTGCCTTCCAAAGTCCACGGGAGCGCAGGGGGTGGTGCTCCTGGCCCCCCTCCCCACCCCAAAGTTAAGACAATAAACAAATTCCAATGTTTAGGAGCCCCCCCAGGCTGACCAAGAGACACTTTTAAGATGCAACCAGGAGGTGCAGATGGGGGGTGGGATCGGTATACTATACAAAGACAGGCAATAATAATTAAAAGTATTTAACATCAAAGCCACCACTGATCAGTACAAACGACACGGTAAGGGACCAATCTCTGTCGGAGAAAATTAAGCAGGGGGAAAAGAAACATTGCTCTCCTCTCCCCGAGAAGAAAGTAAATTCATTAAGCCAAGCAACATCCCTCCCGTCCCCACCCGCCTCAACTCCCCTGCTTTGCCTCCTCTGGGTTGCCCCCAAAGTAGTGGAAGTTCTCGTTGGCTTCCCAAGTGTCCCTGTACTGCGTCCCACTCCCCAGCGGATGGAGGTCTCTGGGGATGCGTGTGTTGGGTGGGCGGGGAGGCCTCTGGATGTCTGACAAGGCCCACGGTCTCTGTGGAGCAGCCACCAGTCCTGGGGCAGGGAGGCAGGACGTGGCCTGTGAAGAGAGGGCAAGAGAGGGGAGGAGGTGGACCAAGCTACACATACCACTCTTTTTTGGAAATAAAAGACCCGTCATTCTGAGAGACCATGTTATCGGCTATGTCCAGTTGCTCGGGGTCATACTGGAATCCGAGTGTCCGTTCGTTGTAGGATTCAGAGTGGGCTTCGCCCTCGTCCACCGTGAAGTAAGGCCGCTTGGAGTCCTCCTCGTACTTGGTGGGACAGGACCGGTGTTTCCTTTCGGCCCCAGCGCCATCGTCGTCTTCGTCCTCGTAGTTGTTGCTACCCAGCGGGCCAGGCTTTTTCTCGTCGTCCGAATCGTCAGGATACTGAAGGTTCTGGGCCATGGGTGGGTGATGCTGAGGGATGCCCGCCTTGCTGTACCCGTTGCCGTAGACGTGCTTCTTGGTGCTGTAGTCGCCCTTGAAAGTGTGGCGCCGGTGACGGAGCACCATAAGGACGACCACGGCCACCACTACGACCAACGAGGCTCCGCCCACCACGCCCCCAATCACGGCTGTGGGGATGGTCGGATGTGCCACGGATGTGACCGGTGGAGACGGGGTGTAGGGGAATTCTGGGTAGGAAAAGACAGATGGAAGGGGGAACAAGCATCAGTCTGTGAGGAATGGCAAACACATGCTTTCAGACTTAAAAAAAATAATAAGAATAATTTCAAAAAATCGGGGGAGATGAGGAGAAGGAAAAGGGGAGGGAAAGTCAGGGAAGGGGACAGGAAGTGCCTACCTACCTAGACAGAGAGAGACAGAGATCAGTCCCAAGCCTTTTCCTCTGCCTTTTCCCGTTAGCAGACCCCTGGTCTTTCATTTCCCAGCCCTGAGAGTCAGATTGACAATAACAATCCTGCCTGGCTGGGGAAATTATCCATTCCTGCTTTGTCTACTGGAACTTTTCCACCATGATGTGGAGAAGAAAAAGATTTTTGGCCTATCTCTCTGCCTTTGACCTGAGCCTGTCTTACTAAAAGTGAGGCTGAGTGGCTGGGAAGCCAAGACTGGTCACCGTGTCTGACCGTGACACCATGTCCATCCTCTCCCAAACAACTAAATCTTTTCATCATTTATCACACAAATCGCATGCAGAGAAAGCACTGACTTGTCTTCTGAAAATAATAATAATAATAATAATAATAATAATAATAATAATAATAATAA